GCTGAACCTTTAGGGTCACAGAATGTTTGTCGTCCATTCAATTTATTTTAATTTCAGTTTGTGCCTTTTCCCTTCTGTCTTTCCAGATGAGATCACTGCTAGTTTTCGTCGCTTTGGACCTTTGATTGTAGACTGGCCACACAAGGCAGAGAGCAAATCTTATTTTCCTCCTAAAGGTAAACGTCTGATAACCAATAACATATGAGCATTTTAGAATACTTTTTCTTGATAAGACTCCATTTTAGACAAGATTTTTGTGACAATGACTCAGTGTTGAGGGGGGAAAAAAGTTGAATCCTTGGGATTGTTTCAAACTGATGGAATGTAGAATGTGGCTTTGCAGTTATTCTGCATAGAAGAATTCTTCCTTAACTTCCTGTTTTTACTTTATTCCATTTTCCTTTTTATCCCCCTTTTGTTCCCTATTTTTGTAATAATAGTCAAGACGAGTCTTCTTAAAGGGACTAAATGCCCCCCACAGAAGCTGGGAAGGATTTGTACCTTATATTAACAACTATTCTGGCAGGTTTGCCTCTAGAGCTGCGGCTTTTGTTCATACTGCTGGCTTCTCCTTTTCAAAGGAAACGGAGAGAGAGTGTGCTGATCAGCAAGCTCCCTGGTTTCCTTCATGTCTGCAGACATCTTATAGGAGGCTGGGTTGGAAACGTGTGAGAGAGAGTCTTGAAGTTTGTCCCTTACTGTATGGGTAGCATGATGACAGGGTGCCAAGCGTAATTCTGGGTTAAATTATTATCCTATAGGCAAATAGACAAAAGAAATTATGTGTTTGTTTTGCCTTTTGTAGGATATGCATTTTTGCTGTTTCAAGATGAAAGCTCTGTACAGGCACTGATTGATGCATGTATTGAAGAAGATGGAAAGCTCTATCTTTGTGTTTCCAGCCCCACTATCAAAGACAAACCAGTAGGTAGAATTGTCAGGGTCTGCACAATTCCTGTATGATAACCAGAAGTTGTTCTCTTCAGAAGCTCTTTTCTTTTTTTCTGTCTTCAGAGTGCTCATATTTAAATTTCTTTAAGGTGTCAAATTAAGTTCTTAAAGAGAAGACCAACTTAACTTATTTTTAAACTAGACATTATGAAGTTTTTTAGTCTAGTTACAATTCATATTTTTGTTAGAAAAAAGTTTGCTAAATTTCACCACTACTGATGCAATAAATAGATTTCCAGACAGGTGTTTTATGCTTCTTATTGAATAAAATGTAGAATTCATATTGTCTGAGTGTTGCATGTATGTTTTGAGAGAGACAAATTAAACTAAAAAAACAACAACATGGGATTGAACTGTAAATTATTAGTACAAATGGTTTTGGGGCTGATGCAAGTCTGTTAAGAGTTGGAAAAACTTCTGCTGTATTCCTGTACTTCAAATTTGGCCAGCTGTAGGCAAATATAAAGCAGCTAGTTTTGCATAGTAAACAAACATGCAGCATTGCACACTGGAGCCTGTTGCATTGAGATAACGCTAGTCTAGTGCTTACGCTTGGCTAGAACAACACGAATAGCGTAGATACGTATGCACCGATGTGGTTCGTACAGCACAGTTCAGTCACGATTAAATAAACGTGTAAGTAGAGGGTGAGTTTTTTCCCAGAAATTTGGGTAACAAGGAAGTGGTGAAATTTAGCATGATCGAGTGGTCTGTCTTAACGGAGCTTATTACAATTTCATTTTGAGAAATGATTGCTGAACGAGTAGAAAACAAGTTTAGAAAGTAGAGCCATTTAAGAGGTCATCGTCTTTGTAGGGTACTGTTTTAATTTATATTACTGAGATACTTTGAATTGTGAATGGTTAAAAAAAAAAGGCTTTTTGTCCATAGGTTCAGATCCGGCCTTGGAACCTTAGTGATAGTGATTTTGTTATGGATGGTTCACAGCCTCTTGACCCACGAAAAACCATTTTTGTTGGTGGTGTTCCTCGGCCTTTACGAGCAGGTACACTGCGTGTTCCGCAGCGCTGGGCATGTTGAATATGCAATCTAATTTGGGGAGCAATGGGGGAAACAAGTTATTTCAGCAAGGGAAGTATTAAGTGTTCTTGACACTTATAGTGGGGGACATGAATACAAATGGACTGTTCCATTTGATGCTTTTAGAAAAAATCACCAAGTCTACACTACTGTTCTGTTTTCCTTTCCTCTTTAGTGGAACTTGCAATGATAATGGATCGGCTGTACGGAGGGGTGTGCTATGCTGGAATTGACACAGACCCTGAGCTGAAGTACCCAAAAGGAGCTGGGCGGGTTGCATTTTCTAATCAACAGAGTTACATAGCTGCTATCAGTGCTCGCTTTGTTCAGCTGCAGCATGGAGAGATAGATAAACGGGTAAGTCTTCAAGCGTGTTCTATTTTTGTTCAGTGCTTTCTCTAGAAATGCTTTTCCATGTAAGTGTGTGTCATTATGAAGACTGTAAATGTTATATCAGATTAATTGCATATTCAGGGCTAGGTGTGCCACTTAGATACAACACAGAATAAAAATGAAGGAGTGGTACAGAGCTGTTAGTTCTGGAACGTGGGAGGCAACTGTGAAGCAGACTTTCTCAAATTGCTTAGCATAATGGGAAGCATGTCAGCTGCCTTGCCCTTTTATAAGAATATTGCACTTGTCGTATACTCCCACTGCAAGTATTTGCACTTGTAGTGTTTGTACAGTGTCAGGGAGTAAGGTATCTGCCAGGGATGGAGCAGTTCTTACTCCTGTTCTGTATCATTTGAGAGAGTGGGCAGAATCTGGCCCTAGTGTTACACATTGTGTGCTGGGTGTTCCTAAAGAGCATCATAGTAATGCATTGTAAACTCGTTAGTGTGCATTACAGCCTCACAGTCATCCTCCACAGCTTATGTAAAGGCTGTGTCTGGTTATTTTATTCCTTGATTATTATAAATTAAAGTAATATGCCAAATGGATCTGCAGTTTGCTTGCCTCTGCCCTCTCATCTATATAAAATGTGACTTTGCCAATTACAGTCATCATTGGGCCACAATTTTGAGAAAGTGGGATCCTTATATCTACCATTCTAATTCATGCTTTGTCTCTGGATTTTTCCTACATGACTGTCATCATTGATATTAATTACTACAAAGGAAACCCCTCAAACTTGGTTGATTAACTGATTATCATTTCACTTCTGCTTTGGCTATAAAGTTTGAGTAGAAGAATTGTAACAACAATTTGACTGTGGGCCTGAGAATTGGAATGTCTTTGTTCTAATCTTGGCTCTGAAATAAGTTCTGTACAGCTTTGAACAAATAATTTGGGCCGCCCTTGTGCAACTTCTGCTTGCATAAGCAGAGACTTGGGTGAATAGGTCCATTGAAGCTGGTGGGACTACGAATTTAAGTAAGTACTTGTGAACTCTAGCAAAGATTTTGCAATCTATTTCCCCTTCCTACTCTCCTCCCACTCTTCATTTCCCCATTTTGTGTGTAGTTCAGAAGAAATGCGGGGAGATAAGTGCTCAGAGGGTTCATTATAAGAGGGGTTGGGCGCATGAAAGAGATAAAAGTACAAGAGTACAACAAAAACACTACTTTTTATTAATAAGGTCCTATTTATTAATAATTTCTTCTAATAAAGTTTTTCTGTAAAAATAAAATTGGTAACAAGAAGGGATTTCCTGTAAAATTAGGCAAGGAGGTGCTGCTAAAGGGTGTGCCCTTCAAAGAGATAATGCAAATTAGATGCTCAGTGGCCTGCAGTACCCACCACTGCAGAGCTGCTGATGGGTGCTGCCACCCTAAGTGTGCCTGATGAAGTTGTTGTAATTTAAGCTATTTCTCTGTATCTGGGAAGCCTCACCATACCCAGCACAAGTAACAATTGCAGGCCACATTTGGCACGTGCACTTCAGCACACACTGAATAAATGTGCTGAGGACTCTGACTAGTATCTATGGGTTGTAAACTTGTACAGAAACCAGTGCTGCATTAACAGGCTAAAGCAAGCAGAGGTATAATTACTTGTGCTGTAGTTTGGCCTCTGAATATGTCTGAGTAGACATAATAGAGCAGCAGAATCGCCCCATTAAGGAGGCATGCCGAGCATATTGTAGGTTCTCCTCATAGCACTTCTAGATGATGCTCATCAGTGAATACCCAACCTCAAACTACATAGCAAACTAGGTGATGAAGGGAGAATGTGGTGCTAGGAGTATTTGTCTGCCTCTGCTCTTTTACAAATTCATACTTCTGAGTTGGCATGGAGGGGTGTTTGAGAAATGGAATTCTAGCAGTGGAAGAGGAGAAAAACTGACGCCAAAAAAAAGGCTGCTGTACTATCTCCAAGTAGTTTATGTGGACTATGAGCACAAATGGCATCAAACCACTGCGGTGCCCCGTCTGTACTGTGATAAAACTGGGTAAGTTTAAAAACATAGGAGCTTGTGAATGTCCTTATTTGGATGAGCTGGCATACGTCTGAGATTTGTGAGATGTAGAAAGGAGCATCGGTAAGCCCAATGCAGAGGTAACAAACAGGTTAACAGTAGACACACTAGTCACAGTCAGGATATTTGGAAATGTTTGTGAAAACACCTAATTAAATGAGCTTCAGAGAAGGCTCACAAGCGCTTATAGAACAGGAACTTGTACCTATACTTTTTTAATGTGAAGTTTTGCATTGCACTTCTGGTATGTCACATGGACCTTTCACAGTTCTGTAGGTGAAGGAATGGGAGTGGAGGCGATTACTAGTTCTGAGGTGGAACTGAGCCTTTAGGGGATAGCAGTGCTGCAGTTGTGATTTAAACATGTAGGCATGTCTAAACGAGATGTGCTCTAGCCAGCTTGGTTGGATACTGAGAGCAGCAAGCTTTGCCTTGCTGTCACAGAGAAAGCGCTCTGCAGAGCTACGAGCAGGATTTTGTAGCCCGCAGTATAGCAGACTTGGTTTTGGTATCCAAATGCCTAGATGAAAACCTAGTAGTCTGCAGGTGTTTCAGTGTGGATTGGTCCTTGGAGCACCAGCTGGTAAGTTCCTGTGAGTCATTATCAGCTAAGAACTTGAAGAAATTTTTCTTTTCCTTTCTTGTCTGCTGTACTGAATTACTGCTCGTCATCTGGCCCTTAATGCCAACAGCACAGGTGGCCATCAGTTCCATTTTAAGCTTCTCATTTGATCCCAACAAGGTTAGTTGCCTTTTGCTGAGAGGACTAAGCCACAGACAAAGAAAACAGAAATGTGCTGGGTTTTGAAGATAATAAATGACATTTTTTGAAGTTGGAAATTTAGACATTGAAATTTGCAGACCATGTGCACATTTAATCTGCTTTTAGTGTTCTGTAAACAATTTACATTCCTATTTACTCCTGCCTGAAATGGTAGGAGCTTATTTGTGCATTACCATACTTAAAAATAGACCCCCAGAATTCTCCACGGTTTTGATGCGAATCTGCGTATCAGTTCGGCAGCGATGGGTTTATTGGTCCTTTCCGTAAATCAGTGACAGCATGCATGATACTGATGGTCAGCATTGGTTTCTGGGGTTTTTTTTAAAGGATCAAGGAGAACAGTGCGAGCAGGATTGTTCTCAAGTTAAGTGCCCATAATTTTGGCTATTTAATGGCTATGATCAAGGATAATGAAGGGGAAAATCCTTGAGTGTAGTGTTCCCTACTACAGAACTGTGATCACAATCCTGCTAGAACACAGATAGTAAATAGTGTGGAATTGTCATTATCTACATTGTTATTAAGAACTGTAAACTTTCTTCTCATTTTCTGAATACAGGTGGAAGTTAAGCCATATGTCTTGGATGATCAGCTTTGTGATGAATGTCAGGGGGCCCGTTGCGGTGGAAAATTTGCTCCATTTTTCTGTGCTAATGTTACCTGTCTGCAGTATTACTGTGAATATTGCTGGGCTGCTATCCATTCACGCGCTGGCAGGGAATTCCACAAGCCCCTGGTGAAGGAGGGAGGAGATCGCCCAAGACATATTTCATTCCGCTGGAACTAAATGATCACTGCAGTGCTCATATGCAGGCCCTCAAATTAAGTGCACTCTTCTGTTATCCTGATTGTCCCCACCCCACCCTACCCTTTCTCTTATTCAAGATAGCATGTCCTTTTGTAGTAGTCTGTAATTTAACAATAGTATAATGAAAGAATGACCTATAATATGGGTATTTTGTAGAATCTTGTCATTGAAAACTGTATTGGGAACTCCTTTTCGTATTGATAACATGTTGCAAGTGAGTGGCATTCTCTTGTCCTTACTACCGAGAGAACATTTAATTTCATGCAACATTTTCTTAGAGGAGAGAAAAATATTAAGAAAAGAGAATTGAAACAATAGAGTATTTTGGGTTTTTAATTAAATTATTGTTATAAAGAACATAAGAATACTTTTATTAAAATAACTGTGTAACAATAACACTATCAGTCTGTTCTGACACTTTTCCCCCAGGAAAGCCTGTTTTTGCCTCTCTTTTTGTTTAGAGTTCAGATTTTTCCAGCAACAGATGAAGTTAGCATTTACCTACCAACAGGAAAGAGCATGTTTAAAGCAACAAAAATGCATGATCAAAGTTGAAGCAGCATTATAATAATGATCTTTTTTAAAAAAAAAAAAAAAATCTGTTAAGGGTTTTGAGGCTGAAATTTTAGCTTGGTATGTATCTGACCGTGCCTCTGAGTACCACCCACATCCAAATTAATAATGAGATAGGCAGAGCTTACTATATTTTCATCAAAATGGTTACGTTTTAAGAATTCCTGAATGTAAAAGTTGAGTAAAGTTACTACTGAGGGGGGAGTGCACTTTTTTTTTCCTTTAAGAGAACTCAATTGTCTGGTTACAGCCCTAGAAATCCTACCAAAGCTAGAGTAATGACAACTAGTTAACTGGCATTTCCTCTCCTGAAGGATAAATATATAGATTTTATTTTTGATGGCTATATATAACTCTATATCCTAATATACTAACATTCATCAGGTGCCAGCCTTTGCTCTCCATTTTGACATGAAAAAGTAGAAAACCTAAAGATACCTCAAGGATATCACTGATTTTTTCTGAAGTTTTGAAATTCCATTGTGTCACACAAACTAAAATTGGCTGCTTATTCGTTTCCCATCTTGGATGTAAAGTTAGTTTTAGATGCCCTCTAACTCAGCTGTAACAGAAGGCATGAACCTAAGTAGTTTCCAGGTCTTGTTTTACACCGTTTTCTGAATTTGTGCATGAAACGGTGCAAGTGTGCATATGCCTTTCTTACTCATCCTGTAGAAAGAATCCCAACTAGGTTCCCAACTCTTCAGAACTTAGTATGGGGAAATAAAGAAACACAGGTATTTGAAGTGCCCGCATTGCTAAGTTAATGCCTGCTTTATTATAAATAAGTTCTACCTTGAGAAGCATTAACACAGTACATGTTAATTGAATGATAAAGAGTGGGTGCAGGGGTTTAGTTTGAAATAGTTGAATGAGGGAGTAGTTCTGAAAATTATTTTTATTACTTTTGAACTAATGCCCTGGCCAGCTTGTCAAACGATTATTTAGCAGTGTGCAAACAAACAAATTTTGTGGCAATCTTCTCAACTGCCGAGTGGCATGGTACCATCCTGGATTCTCTCAAACCAAAGACTTGCCTCAGCACTGCTTGGAAAACATCTACTCCCTTAAAAGCCTTTGTCGGCCCCCTCGTCCCATTCCCCCAGCCCAGATTATCTTTATGAGAAGCAGTTTTTTATTTTCAATACAGGCTTTAATGAACTATACCTTACCAAGTTCCAAAGGTCAAAATGGAGACATTTGCTGTCTACTAGTCAAGTATAGAAAGGGAGCTGCTTTTAATGAAATCCCTGAAAATATTGACAACAGTAATGCAAATGCAGAGTGCTCTTGTGTAGATTGTCAGGGACTTTTTTTTCTCTGAAGTACATAATTATAGTTGGAATGTTCCTTTAATTTTTTTAATGCTTGTAGGTGGCTTGGGGTGTGCTATTGTGCCGATCCTACCCAGTAAACAGGTGAGATGGGTTACCATTACAAGAAATAACACTGTTTGAGAACTAGCTTTGAATAATAATTTTCCCTTTGTACATGACCTGCTGAATTTCGGTACAGTGTTTTTGTAGCTAACTTATTTTGTCATGCACATAATGTATATTTGTTATGCACTACTTTTGTATATCTTGTTTTTCCAACAGTGAGCATTTTTAGGCACACTTTTCACTGACGGGATATCTCTTTATGCAATACCTCAATTTTTCATATTGCAAAGAGTAGCTTTTTGTACTTTTATTACTGAGAGATCTTCATATACTTCATTTTTTAATATAAATAATTTTAATAAATTTTATTTTCTTATATTCTGCTTTTTATACATTTCAGTGCTCTGCATACATTTTGAATTATGGATGTTGTGCACTGGCAATGCTATTTTAGAATCTGCAGAGAAAAGAAAGCATGTTGCTTAAACATCTTAGCCCAGCACCAGGTATTTGGTGTACATATAATTTAAGAAATAGTATATGTAAAGTTGAGAATTAAAGAAGAAAAGCATGAAAGTGACAAATGACACTGTCTTTAGACCCATGAAATTTAAATGCATAAATATAGTGTAGAAATTTAAAAGTAAAGAAACATCAAAATTGTCTACTGCTTCTTACTAAGTTTTTAAAAATTATACACAAATGCAGACGTTTTTGGTGAATGTTTAGCCATTTTTAATATTAATAAAAAATTGATGTTAGGTGTTTGATGCAGAAATGTGTCTGCTCTTTTAAATTATATTTAAAGAATAAAAGAGAGCCTGCTAGGTGGCAGGCATGTAATGTTAGTATGCATGACTAATGTAAGAAATTGTTATTCTACTAATATTCACTTGTGATTGTGTGACAAGCGTGTTTACAGATTATTTGGTTACACTTCGAATTACAGGGCATAAACAATTATATACATTACTCTGTACTTAAATAGTGATTACATGTCCTTCTGATTACATGGGATTTGTAGTTGGGGTTACCGTGTAGCTCCAAACGTAATTAACATGTAATTGGGTTACCAGTCGTAGGGTATCACTTCAATTTGCAAAGGGGTTAATAAGCATGTAGTTTTATCACACTAGCATGGCACTGGCCATGTATTTACAATGTAGTTACAGAGTAATTACATGGTTATTTTTGCAATGTAAAATAAAGTGTTTCTGATTATTTTATATGTAAAGGAACCCCACTGCCCCGTGCTTTTTGGTATAGTATATACTTCTCCATACACAGACCTCTGCAGAACGCAAATTTAAAACTTGCAGTGAATGAATTTAGCGTTTTATAAGGATGCTGTTGGAAAGACTTGATAATTCACCCCTTTTGTTTTTGAAGAGTTAAAACCTTCTGTTAAAAGGTGATTTAAAACTTGAATGTGATGAATTGTGGCAAGTTAACTTCAAGTTATGTGCAATACCTATTTCAGACTTCTGGAAGATCTTTGCAGTGTAATTCTTTGTTTTTAATTGCAGACATTTAAAAATGTCATTTTCTACTGTTCTAGTAAATCCTCTTTCTTGCTGGTGTTTCTAAAGAAAAGAATCAGAAATCAATCTTTCTACTAATGTAAATTTGAGATTATTTTTAAAAAAAATGGAATAAAAGGTTTTGGTCATTTGCTTTATTTTATTATCTTATTTTAAAGCTACTGTGATAGCATTGTAAGAATTGGGACAATATTGTATTCAACTGTTTTATTTTTTATATTTTTAAATTTTAAAGTATAATTAGTTTTTATAATTTTCATCAGATTTTTTTGTTATATTTTTTGGAAGTGAAACTTTTAGCAAGTGGGTGTCTAGTTTTTACTAATCCCTAATATGTTTTTCCCCCAATGTATTGCTCATATTATCAGAAGGAAAAGTTATTTAAGTATGTCAGTTAATTGTACTACTTGGCTGAATTTCCATATAGTTTTTACTGTGTATGGGGAGGTTGTAGTATTTATTATAGCATTTTAAATAAGGGTAATTCATTTTTTATTAAAGTCATTTTCACGTTTAAGTTCATATTTTTGTATGTTCTACTCTAAGTTATATAACACAAGTTACTTTTTTTAAAGAGTTCATTTGTTGAAGTGCTAGTGAAAATTAATGTTATTAAATAGTTTGCAAATGACTATTTATACCAGTATGCATATAATTTTTAAATATTTGTAATGTGAGATGTTGAATGAATAAAACTTTTAACTCAATGTTTCTTCTAACCTTTTTATTTTAAGCTTCCTGTAGAAACATGTTCCTTTGTGGCTGAAGCTCATGGGGCTTGGGGAAGTGATTTTGATGAAATGTACAGCACACGTCTGGCAATATGATGTGTAAAGTGCTTTAGGCTAAGTTCTGCCGTCCTGTTCTGGTCAAAACGCGGCGCATGGTTTTGTGGGGGGTGTGTGAGGGAGGGTATATCCGCTTGAGAGATGCTGAGTAGCCTGGACACTGCATTGAATTGGTACAACGTCGATGTGCAATGCTGCAGAAATGGAAAGAGCCATGTGTAGAGGACTGTGGAACTGCTCTCTGTTGAATCAGGCTGCAAGAAGAACCCTTCTTACTGCTTGTGTCCAGATGTTGTCTTTAGGGAATGTTGAATGCGAACTATTTCATTTTGTGAATTTGGTGCTTGTTGAGTATTCGTTAGAAATCGTGTGTAGCTTTGGAAAAGCCTTTCAGCAGCTTCAGCACTGCCATTTCTATTTTTTGCACAGCCTTAAACATACCAATGTAGCCAAAGAATTGTAGTGATCACTTTCTACTTAGTGCTCTCTGCAGATAATTCATAGGGACAAAGATGAAAACCAATACACAGCTGTGAAATCGAGCTAACTGGGCAGGTGACATGTTCAGTGAGAAGAATACCACTGAGGCACATGTAATGCATCATGTAAGTCAGAAACCGCTGTGCAGCTGGGACAAAGAGATAACCAGACTAGGGTCAGAGGAGAGCCAAGCAAGGCGTGGACAGACAAGGATTCTTTTTTAATTGTCTCATGGTTGTGATCTGATGCTAACAGAAGGAAAAAGTCTGGCATTTTCAAGAGCTTGCTAGTGTCAGCCTTTAATTTAAAATATCTAAACTTGAAATGTCTAAAAAGTCTTGTGAACTGTTACAACTTTATGTATCTGCCTTTCAAGGACTATTCAACAGGAACCATGCATAAAGGATTCAAGGGTTTTGCATCCTCAGCAGGTAGGAATTGCCAAACTTTGGTTTTCTTACTTTGATTCAAACAGCGAGGCTTCGGTGAAGTACAATTCTGATTGGTCTGGAAGTAGCTCTGCTAAGCGGAACTGTGAGTCAAAATATGCACATGGATGGACCTTTTGAGAAAAAACTGCTGCCCAAAATGCAGTACTGCAGTAGGGATCAAACCGTGCCCACTGCACTGACCAGCACTTCACTGTTGCCGTCTGAGCTGCTAATCTCTTGTGCCATCATCTAAGGAATGGTGTTGTAAATGTTAAATGGACGTTGAGGATCATTCTTTTCTGTGGGTGCTGCAGGAAATGCAAATCTTGTGGAATTGAGCTATAATGGGATTAGTTCTGTAAGATGCTAATCAA